TAGAATGATTAGACGCGTATATAAAAGTTAAATAAATCTTTTATAGGAGGATATCGTATAGTTAAGGGAAAAAAATGTACGCGTACCTGAATTTAAATAAATTCTTCAGTAAAAGGACAACGTACGCTTAAACTAAATTTAAATAAAATTTCGTGAAGAGTGAAATTACTTCGTTCCTATAGTTTCATGAATTTCACATTTCACAGTTCCAACGATGAATAAATCATAATTAATTGTCTGCGAGTAATGAGTTATTAAAATTTGTTCCTCGAAATTATCGCAAATTTTAGAAATAATACATCGCTATACATCGATATGATTTTGACGGGGTGCGCTTTTTCCAGCGGGATAAAGACGCGAAAAGAACGGGATATCGATCGCGAGATAAGAATACGCTTTGTCCAAACGCTGTTTGGGAACAATTGGCAGTTTTTTTTTTCCGTCTGTAAGGCAATTACCCGCGAAATAAATTAACGTTATTTACTGGAGAGACGTGGAAAGTACAGGGACAAATCAAGCATCGCCAACGCGACACCCGACAAAAAGCCAATCAATTTGCAGACGGCTGAATAACGATAAAACGTTTATTACAAAACAGCCGGGTAATACGAAAATATTGTTTTCACCGTTCACCGTTCTTTCTGCAACGATAGTTTCTCGCTTTCGTTCCCGATTCCAGTGTTGGGCAAAAGTTGTTTCGAGCAAAAAAAAAGCACGAACGAATCGATCGAATTTCTCATCGTCGAGATCAATTTAAATTACAATTTTCACCGAAGCAACGAAGGAAACATTTCCTCTTCAAAAATCATCGGTCGGCACGTGATAAATTAAACGTAACGTCTTGGGAGGAATTGATGAATTTGACAAACATTTCTCGCACGTACACGCGTGAGAAAGACATTTGGTCGTGAGAAAGACGTTCGAAAAACTATTTCTTTTTTTTTTTATTTCTGTCATTTTCCCGAACTGAAAGTGAAAATGAGAAATGGAAACGTGTCAGTTCCGACGCGTAACAGATATGGTCCATCGCGAGGCAAAGAGATCAACCGTGTCAAGAAATTCTGCAAAAGAGGACTCTGCGGTTGGTGAAAAACGAGAGTGTATTATGTCAATCAATATAGTGCTATATATTTTCTTTTACTTCACTGTCGGATTCAACAACGAAAGTTACTTGAAATTTTTGTATTCGTATTTATATACACACGATTGTACACGATCTCTGTAGTTAAGATAATTTCATCTGTTGCTAACAAAATTATTAATATTTAAATACAATCACATAATTCCAAAAACTAATTTGTTAAAATTATTATTTATTATTGCTCCAGCAATACTACTTCTGCATTACATTTTAATACTCTACCCAATATTCTAAAATCCTAATATTCCAATATTCTAATGCAAATCCAATGTCCAATAATCCAAAGCGCAGTTACAATTCCAAATCTGCGGGAAAAAATCGGAACTACCTAAATCCAATTTTCGATAGAACACGTCGCCTGTATGTGTACAATACGGTTTTCGAAAAACCATAAAACTGAGAAAAACACGTTATTTACACGCCTTGCCTGCACAGTTTCAGCAAGCGATTTCCGTTGCGCAACGAAAGCAGTTTCGTTTCGGCGGCGCGCAGTTCGATCGAAATCGACGAATCCGGTAGCCTAAGCGGGTTAAGGAGACGTTACTTTCGCAACGCGGTTAGACAAGAGCCAACGACAGAGCAACCCGGCAGCTTCCTTAACATCGATTATTCCCCCCGGTTCGATATATAATCGGAGCGTGGATCGCCGATTTAATCATACCGACCGCAGCGTTCGAGTCGAACGTTCTGATTTTACCAACGATCGAATTCCGATCGTGTCCCTCCCTTCTTCCCGCCGCCATGACTTCGTCTCGTCTCGCCGTGTGTCTGCTCTGCGCGTACGTCGTGTGTCAATTCGGCTCGATTGTTGCGCGAGAGATCGATCGAGGTGACGATGATCTAGCCGTGGCGGCCACTCATCATGGCCATCATCACGAGGAAGGCGGCGGTGAAGAGCATCACTCCGACCACCATAGCAAGCACGGTGAGAAAGGCGACAAGGGTTACAAATCGTCGCATCATCACGAGAAAGGTGAGAAGGGGCACCATGACAAGGACCAGCACAGTGGCCACTACGACGAGCACGAGGGTCACAAGAAGAGCCATCATCACGACGACGGTTATTACTCCGAGCACCACAAGGGCGAGAAGGGCGAGAAAGGGCATAAGTTTCACGAGGAGGGCCACTATGGCAAGGGGCACAAGACGAAGGGACACCACGAGGTGCACAAGTTAGACGAGTTCAAGAAGGACAAGGAATTCTTCGACGAGCATCACGATTCCGGACACCACGAGGACCACGGCGGACACCACCACGAACACGGTCACAAGAAGGGCGGACATTTCAAGAAGGGGCACCACGAACATGGAGATCACGAGGATCATTACGGGAAGAAGGGACATCACGAGAAAGGACACCATCATCACGATCACAAGGGGCACAAGAGTGAAGGTGGGCATGATGAACATCACAGTCATCACTCTCATCACGGAAAGAAAGGGGGCCACGAGGACCACAAGTCCTGGGGATTCAAGAAAGGACATTGAACACTTGGACTTGGTTCACATTGATTGTTGCGTTTTGTTGAACTTTGTATCTGATTGAAATAAATGTAATTTTTCAAAGAGTCACGCGTTGAGTGGAATTACCTATTTGTCTGACATTTGTAGAAGTTTATGTAAGAGATAAAATCAATTAATCCCCTTTCGCAGATGAGCGTTATGTATTGCAATTGTAACATTATATTAGGCGTACAAAAGAAATGCTCGATTTAAAGAAATTAAATTTAACTGCAATTTTCTTTTCCTCTTAAATTAAAATATTGTGATAATCGCAACTTATGTTACGTGTACAAGGATTTAATATTATGGAATAAATATTGAAATACTTGGATTCTTTATAATTATCCTCTAAAATTCTTCATTGAATTATCGTTAATTATTACAAGTATTTTCCAAATTATGATTGAGTCTGCTTCGTTACAAATTTTATTAAAACACGACGAGCTTGTTTTTTTTTTTTTTTTTAGTAAAACCTTCAAAATATTGGGAAAGCGTTACAATCTAAAACTCAGGGATTGACAAATCTGCAGCTGGTTTTGCAATAATTTACACTTTTGCGTTAGGCACGTTACGGTAGATCAACAACCCTTCAAAAGAAAAAGATTAGGTCAATAACACTTTCTAGGCTCGTATTTTCTAGCTGCATCATTCGATTAAGTAACAGCGTTTTCACTAGAACAATTTCAATTTGCAAATGCTTTCGACGAACATTAAATATCAGTTACCTTAAATTTAGTAATTAATTGTTCGTTAGGAACGGGGAAAATCAATCTTAATTGAATTAACATTATCCTTGTTGAAAGGTAATTCACAGTGAAACTTCGTTTATTTCGATTTTTATGCATTTATATCCAATTTTTAAATTCTCTAAAATTTAATGACTAAAACAAATCCATCCTTCTATTTCTATTCCTTCAATTGTGCTTATAAAAATGAATTCATAAAAATATGAAATCAGTAGAAGTTCACGTAACTGAAGTGGGAATCGTTATGTGGACAGATTCGACCAATTTATCAAACAATAACGTCAACACACTGGCAAATTACAGTTAATTATTTGTAAATTTAATTCGACGAATTAATTAATTTAATTTGCAGAACTTTGTCCCATTAGATTTTATTCGTTCGATAATATATTTCAACGCAATATAGACGAAACGCCAACGTGGCTTAGAAAATCGTGGCTTGTAAAGTGCAATAAACAATGAAACGTTTTTAACAATCTCCTTTGCGGAACTTGTGCGTTCTCTCTGACTTCGAATCTTCTTCGGCGCTGTGATCCTCGTGGCTCGAATAATACGATTCCTCGCCTTTCTCAGCCCGATGACCTTGATCCTGGTTGTCACGACGTCCTTTATCGTATCTGCCTTTCTTTCCGCGATCTTGATAATCGTGTCCGGAGGAATGGCGTCCGCCTTTTTTGAAATCACCCTCGTCGCTCTTGTAACCTTCGTCGAGTTCCTCGTACTCCTCGAAATGACCTTTCTTATGGTCATCGTCGTAGAACTCCGTCTCCTTTTTGTACTCGTCCTTGTGAAAGACATTGTGGTAACCATTAGTTTTATACCCTTTCTTGTAGTACGACTTGTGTCCGTAACTACCGCCATCTTTGAATTTCTCCGCCTTGTCGTGGGAACCGTGGTTTTCAACTTCGGCCACGTGTCCTTCCGCGTGTTCATCCTTGTTCTCGTAGTATCCTGGACATTTGATCGTAATTGAGGAAACGTAGATACGTTCCATTCTAATGCAATTAGCCTCGATTAATTTAGTTTCTTTTAGCCGAACTATTTATGCTCATTTGCTGTTGTTAAAATTCCATTTTTCTCTCTGAAGCCATCGATGATCAAGCAATCAGGTGTTGCGCAAAAATGAACATATTACGTTATATTATACGCGAGATGAATTAAAAATTAAAGCTATTGTAGTAAGCTATTGTAGTTTTAATTAAAAAATTGTTGCATAGAAATCTTGATGGAAAGTTTGATGGAAAATATGAGTAATATTAGCGTTAAATAATAAAACAACAACCCAAATAGTTACAATGGCCGATAGCAGTGAAAGCGTTAAGGATAAAAATACGGTTCAATAATCTAAAGGTTGCATAAAGCTACGATCGTTGAGAGTGGTTAGTATTATTACTAACGGAGATATCTACTCGAGAATTCAGGTAGTTGCAAAAAGTTTCACGTCTATTTCTGTTTTTACAATATGGAATTCAAAAATATACGACCTCTATGAATACATAATGACCTTTTATTCCAAACCGAATTCGTAAATTAAATTGACCCAAATTTGGTCTAAAAATTTTCCTTAGTTATACGTTGACCGTTCTAAACGAGAGACCAAAAAAAGAATTTTTCCAACCTTGAAACGTCCTTTGATAGCCATAAATATTAAGTCCAATAATATAAATTAACTAAGTAATAAATTAAAAGATCAAACAAATGAAATCTACGTGATGAAATATCAGAACCAAATAATATCATTCAATATCACTGGTAACGTTAAATAACATTCAAAATTTCCAATTTCCAAACCAAACTTCTTCACCCTAAGTAATTAAAAGTTACAAGGTCATAAATTAAAAGTCATAAATGAAACGCGATAATAACAATAATTTCCTTAACAAAATAGCAGAATTAAAGGACAGATTCGCTCGATATCCTCAAACATTAAACCTCAACGTCTGCAATTTAACTTACAATCCAAATTTACCCTAATCTAATTTGTCCTACACGAAAAACAACAAACCTTCCTTGTGTTCGCTGTCATCGCTACCAGTCTTCGTTTCACTCGACTCTCTCCCCTTTTTATATCCCTTCTCTCTCTCCGTCTCATTCTCTGAATACTCTTCATTCGCGTTCTTCTCTCCTGCTCCTTCCTCTGTCAAACGATCGTCGCCCCTTGGAGATTCATCAACTCCCTCGCGACCATTCCCATGCTCAAACGTCTCCGTCGAATCACCGTGAGATCCGCCATGAATCTCTTCATCCTCGACACCGTCTCCGCGATCGCTCACTTCCCCCTCGTCCTTCTCACTCTCCTCGTTATCGCGATCTTCTTCGACGCTCTTTTGCCACTCTCTAGTCCCTTCCTTCTCGCTGCCCTCGTCCGCCATGGTGATCTTCCCATCAACGTGGGAATGCGAGACGCGTGGCAGAGAGTTGACGAGAGGCGCAGCCGGCTGTTCCAATTGCTCGTTACGGTAATTGGCAGTTCCTTGGTGGCTGGGGCGCGGAACATCCAGCGTGGTTACGTAGGGGTGTAGGAACGTTGTTGCAGGAACAGCGCGCGCAACAGGTGTAGCAACGTACTGCACGGCCGGTGCATGATAGTAGCGTCCACTTCCGTGATTGGTGTACCGCACGTAGTAAACCGGAAGGCCCTGTTGCTGATTGTACATGTACCCGATGCTCGAACCACCATCAACATCTCGCGCCATCATCTTCGTCAACGTCGTACGTCCCGCTGTCGACGTTAAAACAGCGTCGCTCTGCCGAGCCAGAAGGAACACGCACAACAGCGTTTTGCGTAACACGTCGAGACAGTAAACGCGCGTAGATGCTGGTTTAGGCTGGTTTCGGTGAATGGTTTTGGCTGTTGGTTTCATTCTTCGAGTGGCCATTGAGGTTGCCAAATTTAGACGATATTAAATTATTATTCAGAGAATATTTACTAAGTACCGTCGAGATTGAGAGCTCGAGTCTCCGATGAATCGAGAAGTTGAAAAATTACGAGGAATGAAGAAATTGACTCTCTTATAATCGACAAATTTCATTTAAGCTCCCTTCAAATGTTCAATTTGACTACTGAAATTTAACTATCCGATTGACTAGTTTCGAAAAGTTTAAGAATATTATTAAACTTTAATTTAAAACTTTCTATTCTTTTCTATTGTATTCTCCTCGTTATAAATCAATACCGCGAGCATCGAGAAACTTCGGTGTCGAAATCTCAGTGGTCTAATCTGTGGTCTGCGTTATCGCCGGTGAACCGGAATGCACACTGGCGTGTCCATGAATCGGCGGCTTCGCCTTATATATACACGTGACTCGTCGTGACTCGGGTGAATAAGGGATCGTAGAGTGGAACCGGAGAGTATTCCATGGCCGAGCTCGATAATTCAAGTACACCCGTGTTATTGACGGCTGCACGAACTGTTTGTTCGGGCATTCTAGAAGAGCATAGGTGCATTCGCGTAATGCAACGCCATAAGACTGGCAGGTCGGCAGTCTGAGCGATCGCTCGTGCACCCTCTAGTCATCGTCACTCACGATCCTATTGTGCTTTGACGTTAAACAGTGACCCTTCGTTCTTTACGTTACAGCTATTGCATATATAATTTACGAATAGTAGAGATTTCTTTCATACCCACGTAATATACTTCGCATGTTTTATAATTTTATACATATAATTTTTTTTATCGATATTTCATTATCAAGATCGGGAAAGTAGAGAACTTTTCTCAGAGAAACGAAAGTGCAGATATTCAGAAATTTGCTGTTTGGAAATCACGGGATGTAAAGATTTCTATGAAAAATGACGAATTTCTCTGATGATTATTATTTGATTGCCATAGAGAACTCGTAAACGAGAATTTAAAAAATTGTTAAAAAAAGAGAATTTGTTGATTTGATAAATTAAAGGAGTGTCACTCGCGATTACTTTTGACAACATTCGAAAATTATACTCAAGTCAGATCCAACTGAACTTACTGAAATAAATAAAAATCACGCGTTTGAATTTAATTTTAGATTATCTCGTTGTCTTTGTGAAACGAAATCATTTCAATCGCGAAAATTGAACGACGAGCGCGAAACTCTGGAATTCCGCGTAATTTCAGATTTTTAACAACGACAAGTCCGGTTCGCGTGAAGTTCTATTTCACGCGAACTCGTTCGACGAGCGTGAAAAGGAAGCCAGCGGCGATCGTAGCGGCTGCAATTATTTGCTGCCCGATGTTTCTGCTTGATTGGCTCCGCAGAAATCGAACCGGCGAATTTTAAAACCGATTTTTAGAAACCCGATAGTGCCGAGCACGGCCAATGTGCAAAACAAGATGAGTCTAATTGAAGCACACACCTTGTAAAAGTGCAATGAAAAGAAAGATCGGGTGTCACGTAATGGAATTTCCACGGTGTTGCGAATTCACACAAGCCAGCGTAGTATTAAATAACTGACATGAAAGTTTGCTCTGGATGTTTTGTAATTATGATCCTTCCTTAATGTTTTATAACTATGATCCTTCTATTTCTAAATTATTATATGTATATGCTATTATATATTACTATTTTATTATCACCATTCACACTATTATATGATGCTATTACTGTGCAATTATATCTAATTTTTAATCAGAGAATAAAAATGCATAGTTGAAATTATCAATTGCGAGGAAATGTAAAGACGATTTTTTTGTAAGGAGGATCGAGAAACAAGAATACAACATGTAGACAATTTATTCTATCGCAATAGCATCAACATAAATTTATTGACACGGTAGTATTAACCATTAACACGAACTATCATGTAAAAAATGAAATTTATATAAAAAAGAGTACAGTAAAAAACATAGACTTAAAGAAAAAACTCAAACAATGTATAAAATTTTACAGATTATACAAATAAATTTTGTATAGAATAAACTTTATATTAAGATATAAATTTCAATGTACATTCCATCAACCATATAAGTATAAATTTCCCGATCAGGATTTTGACAGTTAGATCCCTTTATTCCACTAACCTAGAAACATCCACAAACGTATAAATTCCCTGCGAGCAGACAATGCATTCTCACAGAAGAAACCGCAATTGTTACGCAAAGAACGCAAAGGAAAATCGTTTGCCAAAAGCCTGTCGTTTCTCCAATCCCGCCAACGCCTATTTATCCACTCAAGGCCAGCTCAGTTTCACTCGAGTCGAGCGAAGGAGCATCAAACGCCAGATTGACCACAGGACCTTGGAAGCACGACTGGCGAAAGCATCCTGAGGTCGAGCGAGAATTTCATAAGAATCGTCGAAACATCCGGCGAGGGCCTGTTCTCTCGGATGTATTCCGAGACCTGTAGCCATCCTGAACGAGAGGCGGACGTGTCGATCGCTCGACCGGGCCGCGTGACGTATAAAAGAGCTCGGCCGATCGGGCAGCGATTACAGTAGAGTCGAAAGTGTTTCCACGAACTGGCGCGCCTTGAACTGATACTCGAAGGGAATTCGATATTAAATTCGACTCTCGAATTTCGAAATATTATTCATTTGGCCATATACGAAATTTAATTCCGAATCTCGAGATCACGGGACGAATAACGAGGATAATCTCATTTGGTCAGTAAGGAAGAAGAAGAACCAAAACTTGGATGACGTTTGTAAGATGAAAGTTCGAATTTAAGGGAATTGAATAAATCCTGCTGAATAACATTACAGTCACTTGGCGAATGTTCATCTGAGTTTCAAATTTGGAAGGATAAACAAAAATAAACAAAATTCTAAAACACAACGCTATATGATCTTGACTGAAGAATTTATAATAGATTGACAATTGGACAACCTCTAAGGTCAAAATATTCGCGACACTGCCAAGAAAATGAAAGTATTCACGGTTCACGCAGTACTCTGCGTGTGCGCGTGTTCGAGCGTCGCGATCACGATCACGTACGTTGAGAATCCGCATGCCAATAAGTGGAAGATCTCTGAAGATATTGGAACGAGTCAACTTTCCAAAGAAACCGACGACGAACCAGTTGGAATAAGTTTCCAAAGGAAATTGATCCCCATAAAAGAACCGCGAATTGGCAAAAATTTCCAAACGTTTCGCATGCCTCTGGAACCGGACGCAGAAATCTTGCCGGCCCACTACACGGGCGTCAAGCCTCCCGGAGTCGATCACATGGAACTGAGACACGCAGACTCCCAAACCGTTCCTAAAATCGAGCCCTCTAACAACTTTGAGCAAACCGATACTCAACGATCGTCAGGGAACCAAGAATCTGACGGTCTGACTGGCGAGAGACAACGTCAGATGATCTCTTCGTTCGAGAAATCCCAGAGGGATGACACTCTGAGGAAGACGAAGAATACGCAACGTGAGGAAACTGGTGAAGAGAAGAAACTTCACGAAGGAAGGGAGAACGATTCAAACGAAGAGACAGAACAGACTGTAAGTAAAAGAGGGGGTGATAACAAGGAGAAAGATCGTAAGGTGGCTGGTTATCGCAACGTCTTTCACAAAGACGAGTACAAGAAGAACCACGATTTTTACGAGAACGACGATCACGGCGGTCACTCGAAGAAACATGGAAAGTACAGGGAGAAGTACGTGGCCAGTGAAGGGGAGTTCAATAAGGGTAGTGCTCGGGATTCTGGCTTCGACGAGGCAGAACTCCGCGAGCAGGGAATATCGGGCGATTCCCGAGCTACTGGGGAAACCAAGGCTCACGAGACCCGGAATGGCCACGATGGATTCTTTAAAAACTTCCACGGGTTTCGCGAAGCGGGTAGCCAGAAACGACGGTAAAAGGTTTGGCTTCGGCCAACAGAAGACGAAAGCTAACTTTTATACGCTTCTCGCGTGTGCGTTCGCACGGACGTTGAACACTGTCATGTTTGTGCAAAGGGAGTGTGTACGTGGGCAGGGAGAACGTAGAGAAACGTATTTTGTTCAAATGAATTTCAGATTTTCTTTTAGTTAATCGAGGAGGCAAGGAGACTTTGCTCGTAGTTACGTTGAAGCTTTTGATGGAATTCTCACAGTTCGAAAGGGTATCCTTTTATTTTGCCTCTAGTTATTATAAATTACCAGAGACAACAAGAGAGAGACAGGGAATCAATAAAGAATTTCAAGAGAAACTTTTACCAGAATACAATTCCGTTTTTGCTCAATTGTTTTTCATGTGTACAGAGATTTTTTTAATTCATCGTACGTGGCGAACGTATTGACATTTATAATGCGATAGGCCGCTGATTGAGAGAGATTGCGGTCACGCGCGAGTCTGATTAATTGTTTAGATATTGAAACATATCTGGATAATTTCTACCAGCGAGAGTTTTATATTGTATTTGTAATACAAATATTTCGCGAATATTTTATACGTTTCTTTCCATTTATCGTCGTATTTCCCATGAATTTCAACTCCGCACGTCATTTTCAATTTTTGATCTCGACGTTACGCGCTTTATTAATAATGCTTTCGGCGGGATTAACGGAATCCATCTTCTCGGAGAGGTAACTTTTCACTCGCTTGAACGCTGGATTATTATCATTATCCAAATCTTATACTTCTTTAATTATTGCGACCTAATCGTCGATTAATCAACACGAATTTCCCTTTTAGTCGCATCTTACGACACACAGGTATTACGTTGGGCTTATTCTACGCCCGGAGCCCACACGGGGATCGTAAAATGCAAATACATGCACGAATAAACATTTCCCGATTAGATTGTAGGAGTCTGTCTGACCCGACACGACTCGTGGCTTATTCTACTTACAGTTGCGTGACTTGAATCACACTGTCTTTGACCAGCATATCTTTATTGTACTTTCCTATTCTACTAATTAATGACGAACTAGGTACAAAATTAAACAATTTGATGAGAAAATACACCTGATATTTCGAGTAGTTTATAAAAATATTCGAAAACCTGCAGACCATTGAAATTCCTCTGAAATTGTAAAATATTTAGCGGAAGGAGTTTCTTAAAAATATTTAAGAAGCCAATTATTCAATCTTTTTATTCTTTCGTCGACAGCAGTATAATCGATGTAATTATTACGCGTTTACAATGTTAATAAAATTTTATAATGCTTTATATAACACATATAATATACGAACACAAATTTTCCACAACAAATGTTCAAACACACATGAATATATCACAAAGAAAGTGACACAATTCAAAGACGCAATTTTTTGGAGTGACTGCTATAAAAAAAAAAAAAACTGTAAAGACTGTAATGATCAAAATTTTAAAAACCAATCTTATTATTAGTTTGGCCAATAGAAAGGAACCATGTTACTTTTTCTGATTCGCGTGAAACTTACGCTATGTTCTGCACTATATGAAATTATAATAAATTATAAAGTTTTGCGAAGTAATGCATATTAATAAGGTAAAAAGGTGTATTATTTCGAATTGCGTTATTTCTTCAATCAACAAGGCAGCATCAATTCAAATTAATGATCAAAACCAGAAAAAGGACCATATTGCTGTTCACGATTCGTATGAAACTTTCCTATATACAAATACTTCTTACAATGTGGATACAATAAATTATAAAATTTTGCGATGAAATTCACATTAATAAACGTAGGACGTTTATTTCGAGTTTAACGAGGCAACACCTAATTCTGGTCGAAACCCGGAGTGTTATGCATCTCCTGAAAAACATGCTTCCTCAAGTTGTGTCATTTCCTTCACCACGTAGGCCAAATAATTTTGGGCCAAGACACCGTCCAATTTTCTATCACTTGAATGTCAAAATACAAATCAATTCTCGTCCTCTGTTTGTGTTCGCGTACCACGTGTATTTTCGTTCATTTTTCTCCAACTCGATCAGAGCAGCAACGTATATACATATACATACGTACGTACATCCCGAGTGAGTATTTCTCATTTCGAGTGTCATCGATTCGACGGACAAACGTATCCAAAATATATTACCGCGTTTATCGCTGGTTCATCAGGAACGTATTGTTCGGCTCCTTGCACCACCTCCCTCTCTCTCATCGCTGGTTTTATTTCGCACGAAGGTGGCTCGATGTTTCGCGCGTGCACGGGATCGCCTCGTTTCGCACGTCAGCGAAACCCTTGATTAATGGATATTAATAATCCTCGGCATTGTTGCGCCGATAAATTGCAATCTTTCGGCGTATCCGATGAAATGAGAATAAAAGACAAATAATTGATGCAAGCGTGTCTACCTCTGTACATGCATACCACGTATATATACACGCGTATATACAGAAAAAGAGAGAGAGAGAGAGAGAGAGAGAGAGAGAGAGAGGAAGAGAATTCTGTTGTTCAAGCACGTAATGTTCTGTAGCCTTTGTGTAGCTGCATGTTCTTTCTAAAATGAATAGACAGCTTTCCCTTTTTCATATTTGAGAAACATCTCGTTTTTAACGTTTTGCGTTTCATGAACAGTTGCTGAGGATACAGTAGCTGCTATTGTAAGTAACAATGTGTGCGTAGATATCATATTACGCACGATAATTATAATGGTGATTATAACGGTATTAACGGTATGGTAATGATAAGACGAGATAATGACGACCATTTTGAATTGTTATTATGATGTGTTATATTAATTTTCCTTTCTTTTTTTTTCATTTTCAATAGGATAGATTACTGTATGTTAAGATTTATTATATTCCTTTTTATTATACTTGGACGATTATTTAAAGGCAGCGATAAATCGAGAAATATATTGCACTATTTTACATTTGTACAATGCAATTGTGATTAATGATGAACGGTTCGTTTAACAAGTATAATTGTTGAATTATCAGTCTTCATTATTTGAACTTGTACTATTTAAATTGTATTTGTTTTCATTATTTATACTTGTATTGTTTAATCCGAAATTGTATCATTTAAATGGCGTCATTTTACAATGCAATTGTGATTAATAACGCACAGTTCGATTTAACAAGTATAATTGTTAAATTATATCTGTACTGTCTTATCTAGTATTTCTACAATTTTGAGATTCGATACTCTCGAATTTCGAACAGGTACGCAGTAAATTTTATTAAAAAGCATATATTTATATCCTCTAAAGAGAGAGAGAGAGAGAGAGAGAGAGAAATATTCCATACATTTTCGTATTCTCGCGTTTTTTCTTTTTTCGTACACTCTCTTGCATCCCCGTACTTTGAAATTTGCCGCAAGCGCCCGCGATCTAATTATCGCGAACAGAAATCCCTTGTCTGAAGAGAGAAACTCGCAAAGGATTCTACTTAAATCCAAACATTTGCCCTTTGCAACAGAATCGGAATATTCGCAAAGCAAGCTTTAATAAAATCAGAAACATGTAAGTTACGTAAAACAAGCCAGTATTCGGTGACCCATTTAACCATTTCTGCACTTTTATTTTCTCAACCCTTTGCGTTCCTCTATCCTACACACACGTTCACGCGCGAGCGTTGCTTCTGTGTGATGCCTACACTCTGTCTCAAAAATCTTAATACTCTTGTATACACTTTGCGCGACAAAGAGTTTACAAGACGTAACTGTGCAGAATGTTTCCGAAGTAATCGTCGTTCAAAGGGATGAAAGAAAAAGCACGTCGAACAATTTTTATTTATTTCATTTTGTTTTATTTTTACTCGAGGCTTGGCTTGCGAAAACGTTAGATTTAAGACTTTACCGAGTATACGCGTGTTCGTCTATTAAAAATGCTTAAATGCTCCTTGAAAAAAACAAATTTCATTCTTTCTTCTCGAATTTTTTTTTTTTTTTATCACTTTACTGAGATCGTGATCAAGTATCGCGATTCTTGTTGATATGCGCGTAATTTGAAAATTTTATCGTCTATCGCAGAGATGCTGATTATATCAAGAATAAAATTTTGAACGTGAGTGTGTATACACACGTGCACGTTCGTAGATAAGATGATAAATCCTGTCTCTGTGCACACACGACTGTGAATTCTTTTATGCGTTGTATGTACGCATGTGTGCGCACGTACACGTGAAGAAAGGTGGCGTGGCACAGAGATGAATTTTGCATGAATATGTATGCACGCGTGAACGTACGTGCAGGTACCTGTGTATGTATGTATGTACATATGTAGATATATACCCGTATATCGGAGGCGATGAAACGTGGTGCGAGCAATACATAAATCAGCTGGTCCGCTGGCTGCCATATCATTTCGTACAACAGCCATGAATGAATAGAGTCGTGTTTGAGTTATCGTTTTACCTGCTCTTTCAAAATCCGACGCAGCCCGCGGGATCCTCTCGTACATTTATGTAGTTCGCGCATTACGCGTATCGCGAGGCTCATACGTTCTACAGTTGAGAGCTAGACAAACACATTTTTTAATTAAAAAAATCAATTAACGAAAGTTAGTTTACACGCTAGTAAAGAATGATTGAACTTGACAAAATTTATCAACTTTTATTTTTTGAGACTATTCTCATTTTGTGTTTATGTTCTCGCTGATAGTGAGACGATCATCTGTCAATATTTCTACGATATGTGCCATTTATACATATGTTGCGTTTTACTTTAAAATTCTACACTTCGACAAAGCATTTCTGGATTCGCCATGACTTGAATGAAAAGTTCGTGAATCAAAATTAAATTAAATTAAATTAACGAGGTATATGAATATGCGTTTGTGGTTCTACGTAGTAAATTTTAAGAAATCTAGTTTAAATTCTGCGGTATATTCTATTTCTGAATTGTCACGAAATTCTACATTCTATTGAAAATAAGCGAGTATCTAAATACTTTTAAGTATCGAACGTATTGGAAATCGTTAGATGATAGATTTCGCGAAATTGGCGATTCGAAGGTTTCAAAGTAAGTGCTGAGTGATCAAACACAATCCTCTTCAAAGAATCCTGAAGAAACTTCTCAAATCAAATCTCGTTTCTGTTCTAACATCTTTTTCTAAACATCTGCTCGGATTTCCCAAAATTTATTACGGAAAGCTAAATAGCTAAATAGAAATCGCCTACGTATATAAAAGTGAAGTTGCACACAATCGACAATTACGCGAGTAACGATTCACCAACTCCAATGTCTCGACATCGTGTCGAATCGACGAAACGAAAGAATCAATCCGATTGTAATTATTAATAGTGCGTTTCAAACACGTCGAAGCAGCGTGAAATTATATTAAAATTAACACCATGTTAAAAAATAATTCATATCACAGACAACGACGACAACGATGATGATCGTGATGATGACATCGAGTGCTATCGAGTGCTACCTGGACAATGCGTGTTCGCTGTTTATTTCGACGACGATCAAACAATCCGTTGATTCCACTGTTATCCAATTAATTTGCGGCAAATATTTTATCGCGTTATTAATCCGTCTCTTTGGCGCGGATTCCATCGCGTAAACACGTTAATTTAAAAAAAAAAAATATAGGTTCTGTTCAATTTGAAACGTCAAACGATCAAGCGAGGTAAAAGTGAATCCGCGTGCTTGGTTATAGAGCAGATACAATTTGAACGATGTAATGGGCCATTGAAGGAGGAGGATGTTGTCTTTACATCGGGAAGAAACGCTGAACGAAATGAAATGGCCACGTCGCTTTTGAAAATGTATAGAAGTGCCATCCTCGGATGCCTGAGTCGTACAGCCTCGAGACACAGCGGGATTGGAAACAGGGAGGCAACTTTCCATTTTACGGCGGGAAATCTGCGAGTGAAATGCAGCGTAAGTTCACTTTTTTTTTTCTTTTTACCGTGAGAAGCCGCGGTTCAATCTGGCGATGGTTACGATTATAATAACCTGCATAGAAATTGCATTTACACCGTTGACACTTACTTTCAATTCTTGAAAAGTTGAACAACGTTGCGAAATATTTATTCCTCGTTCAATCTTCAATCTACTCCTCGCACGAAGATGTTAAAAACTAAATTTTCATATTAAATAATAAGATTAATAAAATTAAATAATAATAAATAATAAAATTTTCAATTAAGTTTACAAAATTATAAGTTAGCTGACAGGTTAAATATACACTTTCGTAATTTAACTGGGACAGATTCGTTCTCTCGACACTTTTCGTATGTGTATTATATTTTATTAGATTAAATATCTATCAGAGAAGAACATTTTGTAATTCCACAGTTTTCACTGTACATTTCATCGATTTTCTCGATGCCGATTCCTTTTTTGAAATAATCCCGCGATGGCCATACAAATAGAAATACTCTGTTTTCATAATTACCGAGAATTATTTATTTTTAAATTCATCACAGTAAATGCGAAAGAAAAACGAGCACTCCTAGATGAAAATTATTATCGCCATAGAACATCAATTATACAAATTGTCATCAATTATACAAATTGAAGTATTGAAAAATGTTATCATGATTAATAAAATATAACCGAGCTTCCACTGTATTAATAATAATCTATTCAGAGTATAGTATAAATAACGGTAGATAAATTATGAATTTTTCACGGTAAAATAAGTAAATAAAAAAAAAAAATTAAATTATATTATCTTAATAAATAGAGATAAAATTTGCTTTATACAACGAAAGTTCTTCCTAACAATTCTCTAAATTCAAACCAATTCCGAATTTGTGTATTTGCCAAAGAAAACAAACAATTAAACAATAACATTTCGCCAGGAGGATCCACTTTTCAGAACTCGTTTGGCCCTGCCCCCGGATTACGAGAACGTGGCGGACTTCATGTGCGAGACGTATTACAAACACGAGCCGGTAGTGATCAACATCGGTCTCGGCGGCACAGAGGCGCCACCAATCTGGAGGAGCATGATGCTGGAGCAAGTGAGCGCCGGCTACTCGATCATCGCCGAGAATCGTGACAACTGTATAATCGGCGCCGCGTTGAATTGCGTGATCGGCCGCAACGAATCGAAAAAGCTGTGCAAACTGTCGCGATGCTGCGACGACGGACCGATTCGCGACATCATCGAGTTCTTCGCCTACGTGATGGACGCGCCTAAAATCTGGCAACGTTTCCCCGTCGGGAACGTGGTGTTCGAGCAGAGCAGCATAGCGGTGGACTCTGATTATCGAAAGTTAGGAATTGCCAAGAGATTGGTCCAAGAAAGTTGGCACCTGGCACGCGACTGCGGCTACCGGTCGTTCAGGCTCGACTGCAATAACAGGTGAGTCGAGTCTCGTTTCTAAACAAGTTCAGAAACACACACGATCTAACGAAATATTTTCTTTTTTTTTTTTTTTT